TGAAGTTGATTATCGTTCCACTTTTATATATTTGCCTTCATTTGACATATTTGTTCTAATTTTTGGTTCCTTTTTGTGCAGGTTGCTTCCTTGGTTGCAAACATAGCATGAAATGCATAGACGCCATTAATGAACAATCTGATAAACTTTCACAGACAGTTAGTAACATTTTATTCATTCTAGATAATATTTGCTATATAATTTATATGTATTTGAAATACAATACGTAATTCACAATATGCAATTTCGTAATTATATAGGATACAAGGATGAAAATGGAAAAGACTGAATCAATTAATATTTTATTTCGAATGTGGAGATCATAGTAGCTTAATGGTATATATACTTTTAAAGATATAGATATACATTCTTGTATTAGATTATGAAATTCAAAGTTTTCGTACTTTACTATACTATACTGAATAAATTCTATTCTATACAGTTCTCTTTCCATTCAAGTCTAATGTAAAATTATAACTATAAAACATTTTAAATTGTTAGAGTCTCAGTTTTTATCATTATTAAAATTAAAAATTTCACAAATAACACTGTATCTTTATGCTTTTCAGGAAATTTTTCACGGCGTTCACGTCTATCATGGAATTCTCAATGATATCTGCATGATGAGAATCTTCACGACGACTTTCCTTGGACTTTCCAGTGCAGATGATATCGTTCTTCGCATGTGAGTCGCATGCATTTTTGTTCCTCTGGTCACTCAATCATGTCGTAGGATGAAAGGTCCGAATCGGCACGAGTGACTGGTTGTATACGAGAATTTTTGATGAGCATAGTGACCGCGGGTATTTTTTATACCCGTGAGTAGTAACATTTTTTTCATGTTTTTTTTTATGTATTAGATCAGGATAGCGCTTCTTGCACATCGCGATTTTAACGATTAGTTTGAACACATATAGTTATAGTAGTTACAGTTATGTAGAATCAGAATATATTCCATATAAATATTTTCAAAAGCAAAATATTCATATGAACATCCGCATAAATAGATAAATTATAAATAATTATTATTAAAATGATTTCGTTTTCGAGCATTTCGTAGTAGAGAAGATATTTATTGATATACTAGTAATATATTTTGTTGTAATAATTAATAATTAAGAATTGTTATAATAATTAATAATTTTCAACTTCATCTTCCTTTTTATAATAGTTTTTATGATTTAATTAATTGAATTTTATAATCATGAGCTTCAATACAATTTGAAATATATAGTAGATTAGAATTCTTTCCGTAGAAAAGTATATAAAATTTTGTGTGCAAGGAGGTAGTTCGCGACAGGCAGATTTTTGAATCAAAGCAGCAAGTTTGAATACCTACGCTTCGCATTTTTAGAAATATGCTTTGACGAAGAAGTCGCCTGAGATATGTTTCTATCAATATTTAATTTAGAGTCAATTGTTTGATTTTGATTGTTTTAGTCAATTGTT